ATTGTACTATATGTATAGTATAGTTATAGTCAGTATTTTAACAAGGGAATTTGTGGAAACGGACTCGCTGTCGGCTCGCGGGCTTGCTCGGCTTGTTGCGCCAGAGCACAGATAGAAAAGGACATTAAGTTCAAACTATCCTTTTGGGTTTCTTCATCTTGGCGTTACGTCCGCCTGCTTCCCGTGCTGTGTCTTGATGCACGCAGGTAATCACTGGAGAAGATGCGCATAAAAAGACTCTTCTGACCTCGAGGAGAATTAGAATTCCTAGGGAGCAAGAAGCGGTCCCTAGGTCGATGTCACAATATCGGAAGCCGGGGAGAGAAAGGGAGCAAGATCTGGCTCAACTCTGAGAGAGCGTTTATACCAACAACCAATGCAAACAATGCAAACCCCGACCTTCTAGCTAAACAAAGAAAGAACGCAAGCAAACTGTCCACTAGCATGGGATGTGAGATTATTCGTCCGATATACAAGTCGAAATTGATTCGGGCCTTATTTGGAGACATTGTGCCTATGTAGGTGGTTAGCCAGCCCCGGCGCCGGCCCCCGGACCTCGGGAACTGTAGGGATCCGCGGGCATTTCATCTGTCATTCACCTACTACGCCTAGATATTTTCGAACATGGCTGATCTTAGCGCATGGGCAGCTCCTCGTCTCTCCCAGCTTCTCCCGCTGGATCCAGATTCTCTTTCTCAGGTTATCGACTATGCCGTCAGCCTCTCGAGGGAGGCATGTGCCGACCATCTCAAAAACCTCCTCGGCGACTCCCCGGCCGCCCTAGAATTCATCTCCTCGTTTAATTCACGCCGAGAACCGCAGCGACCGCCCCAGAACCCCCCTACACAAAACAAAGATGCACCGAGATCAAGTGGAGGAGCCAAGAAGGGCAAAAAGAAGGCTCCGCTGCACTCTGCTGGTCCACCACGTCGACCCGACAACTACGGCGATGTAGCAGGTGGCTACAAGAAAGCGGATGAAGAAGACTATATGTCTTCTCGAAAACCGGCTGCTCCCACTCTTACAATATCACCGCATGGGTCCCCGGCCTCGTCACGCATTCCCTCCCCTTTACCTGCATCATCCCCGAAGCCACCACCATCCGCGAGTGGCCCTACGATCTCAGACATGTTACCAAATGTGCGATCAAAAGTGAGCAAATCGACACGTCAAGGTGGAGGGGCAGGATCGTCTTTCAAGGGAAACACAGCTCTCACAACCAACGATATCTCCGACCTCACCGCAGCTATCGCCACACTGGAGGTATCGACGAATCCAAGTCTAGGGGAGAGACGCAGCTGCACCTGCTACGGGTCACTACACCCAGTTTTTGATCCCGCACCCAATTGCCTCCACTGCGGGAAAATTATCTGCTCACTCGAGGGGCTACAGCCGTGCTCATTCTGCAGTACACCGCTCCTCTCCGCCGAAGAAGTTCAAGGTATGATTCGGGAACTACGGGCGGAGCGTGGTCAAGAGAAGATGCGCGTACACAATGAAGGTGTTCATCACGAAGGGGGTCCTAGACCTACTTCTGGGTCCGAACCTTCCAGCAAACTGGATGCTGCGAAAGCACACAGGGACAAGCTGCTCCAGTTCCAAGCGCAAAATGCCCGCCGGACCAAGGTTGTCGATGAAACAGCGGACTTCGAGACTCCGAATGTCGCTTCAACCTTGTGGATGACACCCACGCAACGAGCGTTGGCGCTCAAGAAGCAGCAGCGCATTCAGCGCGAGATGGATGAGAAGGCTCGTCCCGAGTGGGAGAAGAAGAAAACTGTGATGAGTCTTGATATTAAGGGTGGCAAGGTCCGCCGAGTCTATCATTCCGCACCGGCCGAACCCACTCCAGAGGCCAACGAGCCGGACCCTGTTGATGAAGGAGGTGCGGAGGACAGCCCGCATGGACAACATGCTTTCAGTCGCAACCCCCTTCTCGCAGCTGGTGGTCTTATGCGACCCGTTTGGCGTGCCCCGGAGATAAAGCAGGCTGAGACAGTGGGACAAACTGAACGAAAACAAACTTGGCGACGTGTGCAAGATGACAACGACGACAACGAGCAATGGATTTTGGATGGAGGGAGACATGGGTACACCACTTAAATATAGTCTTACATGGATTTGACCGCCAGTTCCAAAAGCTCAAGCCTCTAAAAATACCATTTCGGACCATCTTCATGATCCTGAATCGGCCACCTCGGGAGGCACTCTATTTGGGTTATCACCAGCCTCACGCGACAAAAACCACGTTTACTTTGTATCCCTGACTGTGTCTGGCGTATTCCTCGGTCCTGAAACGGGCGGTATCCCCGGAGCGGATATCTGATTATCCACCGTAAATCGGCTAATAACGGTGGTACTATCACCCCCCCCCCCCCACCAGAGGAGAAACCGAGCCAGTGGAGTCGACAGAGGGGATCCTACTGTATGACCTAATTAGTGAATGACGGCAGTCTGCCAAAAATATCAAA